CCATCTGCATAATGCAAGTTATTGATGAGTTTGATCACAGGTGATTTGTACAACGTGATCATGAATAAATGATAATTTAATATATTTTAATATCTGGGCAATTATAGAAATAAAATAGAATTGAAAGATATATTGCTTTTACATTTATCATCTTGAAATGTTATAGAATTTTACATTAAAAAAGTTTTGCACTTTTAAGTTGTACTATTTAATTGTACAAAATAAGAGAAAAACTAAATACTTTTTCTAAGACCACTTATTAAAGACTAACATATATGACTTTCTGAGATTGGACTTAAAAAAGTATTTATGTGATTTAAATAATTCCAATATAATGGGATTTTTCATATATTGTCCCCAAAATTGTTTTCTAAATGTGATTGCTAATAAGTGTCTAATTAAGTTTTCTAATTAAATGTTTTCTAAATGTGTGTGTCAGGAAAGTGTGAGGATGGTATAGATAGAACAAGGATCAGATCTTTTGTTCAGAAGGTCACTATGAGTCATACTTGATTTGATGGCACCTAACAACAACAATAAATGTGATTATGTAAATGAAGGCTTGTTTTTAGAGGAAATCCCTGCATTTGAGTAAATAGCTGTTGTGTTCTTTGTTGTTATTTTCACAAGAGACACCTTTAATAACAAACTTGCTTGAATCAGAGAGAAAGAAAAACTTTGAAAGTAAGTAGTTAGTAACATCTTTTAGTGGTTTTGTGGTAGTAGCATGAAAAACCCAAGTAAGTCCTAACTGGGTCTTGTAATCTAACTCCTATACTTCTTATTTTTTAGTTTTGATATTATAATAGATAATTGGAAATACTCTTCCTAGATCTTCTTTAGGGTAGGCTATAGACAAATGTAAGAGGTTATGTATCTATCTATATAACCTAAAACCAGTTATCTTAAAGTGATGCAAGTTACTTTCTTTAAAATTATTTTTTGTTAGAATACAACTGTACTCCATAGAGTTTTCCATCAGGAATTGCATTGTGAACCCAAAGGTGGCGCCTCTCTGACTGAATCCATCAGTGGCTCTTAGGGGGAAAGTTGGGTAATCTTGTCCCACACACTTTACAGCCCCTGGGAAGCTCACCAGCAGGTTAATTAGGAATTGGTTCTGACTCCACAGAAAGGAGGAAGGAGAATTCTTTTTGTTGTTTGTTTTAGAATTCTTTTGAAGTAACTTTGAGTGGATTTAATCCATCAGCCTTTAAGTTAATACTTAATTCTCCCCCCCCCCCGTGTACATTATCTTTTATACAATCTTTTATTTACATTGTTTCCATTCATATATAATGCATTTTTTAATTTTTTCTTAAAAATATGGAATGCTTCACTAGTCTGCATGTCATCCTTGTGCTAATACTTAATTCTTAACAATGCCATCCTGGAACTCCTATGAACTAAGACAATTCTTGACCAAATTAACCACAGAACTCAAAAAGAACAGTGAAGATGATAAAACTTCAAAAAGATTTTGAGGACTATTATGAAGAGACCCATTATAAGGACAGTGAATCTTTTGAGTAATATTTTATCTTTAAAAATAATTGTAAAAAAACCCACCCCTAAACAATCGAACAAAAATAAACATAGATGCTGTATTTTTTTACTCAGATTATGACTTTTAATATGGGGAGTGTTTGTATGACTTGATAACTAAGTGACATAGATATTCCGGAAAGTAAACATGAGTTTCTGAGGTTCTGTGTGGTAACTGGCAATGGTTATACACTCTTACTTCACAAAATGGGCATAGGGAATGCCAAGGGGCTCTCCTGTTTGCATTCTTCCCAATTATCTGTTCAGTGACAGATTGGTAACCTGAAATTGTCTGAACCACAAGAATAGTCAAAAGCTACAAATCAAGTCCCCTGCTCTTACTCCAAGCCAGTTATTAAACTACCATGTTGCTATATGGAATACTGACAGGAATGCATGTTGTTGTTAGGTTTCATTGAGTTGACTCTGTCTCATAGCAACCCTATGCACACCAGCTCTAAACTCTACTGTCTTGAACCAATTTCATTGTCTTTGACAAACCTACTCCCATTATTTCAGTCACTGAGTAAATCCATCTCATTGAGGGTCTTCCTCTCTTGAGCTGTCTCTCCACCTTCCAAGCAAGATGTGCTTCTCCAAGGACTGGTCCCTCCTTGCAACATGTTCAAAGTATATCAGACAGAATCACAAAATATTTGTCTCCAAGGAGCAGCCTGTTTTCACCCTCTCCAGGACAGATCTGTTTCTTCTCTTAGCAGTCCATAGTATATTCAATACTCCTCCATAATTACAACTCAAAGGCATTGATCCTTCCTCCATCATCATCATCTGTAGTTATTGTCCAGCTCTCTGATGCATAGCAAGTAATTGCAAAGATGATGGCCTAAATCATGTACACCTTATTCTTCAGATTGACATTGTTGCTCTGCAATTTCTAGAAATGTCCTTGACAGCCAGCTTTTCCAATGCAATTTGTCTTTTGATTTACTGACTGCTGGTGGTGTTAAGAGTTTTGATTGTGGAACCAAGCAAACTAAAGTTATCAACAATCTCAATCTCATCTCCATCCATCATGAAGCTTCTGATTGACCCATTAGTGAGAATCTTTGTTTTCTTGATGTTGAGCTTCAATCCATATTGAAGACTATAGTTCTTGATCTTCTACATCAAACGTATCATGTCTTCTTCATTTTAAGGTGGTTTATAAATAGGATAATCAGGACCTAGCATCTAATATAGGAACTTATGATGTGAAAGGCTGCGGCAAACTGCTACCATTGCAGTTGGTAACTGAAAAGTTGAACGTTTTAATTCATCCGGAGGCACTTTGGCAATCTACTTCTGAGTAAAGCAGCCATTGAAAGTGCTGTGGAGCACACTGTCCTACGATACACAAAAGGTCACAGTAGAAACTGATCCTACTGGCAACTGGAAGTTCGAAGATGCTAATGAGCCAATCTTTGTAGAGGTTCAGGAAAGAATGTTTTAGGAAAGAACAGTAAATGCAAAGACCTTAAGAATTGACATTTTCAAGAAACACATGTGTAAGTATGATGATTTGTGAAGAGAGCAGCCCTGAGAAGTCACTGACTTGTTTGTGCTTTATGAAATGTCTGGGTCATGCACTTCCATGTGTTCAAGATGTGACACTAATTATAAAAGCTTTTTAAAAAATCCAGGTAATATTCTAATATGAAAATTCTAATTGCTTTTATCAAGTTACATTAAATATTTACATGGAACTTATGAAAGAAAGAAAGATAAAATAACTCCAATTCTCATTTCCCACAGCTACTGATGATGGATATTATAACCATGATCTAACTGGTCTCAAAGCTCACACTTTGCATCCAGAGTAAAATGCCTCCAAGTGTTTTGCTGAAAAGTTTTGGGTAGAAGATGAGTGTAAGAAAAAAATGGAAGTGTGTCAAGAATGCATTTGTCAGGCATAGGAAGGGCAGAGGGGAGAAGCAACTGAACATGAGTTGCCAAAGGAAAATTCTAGAAACTAGATTAAAGATCAAGAGACTAAAAAAAAAAGCCTTTGCCAAAGCAGAACCCTGCAACAGTGAAGCTAAGACTGAACACACACTTTCTCATATTACGCACCACTAAAAGAGGACATTCATTGCAATCTTTGCACTTTCTTTATCGTAATTTGATCTTGGGCCCATCAATCAGAACAGTATTTGTGGGTCTGGAATTTAGATATATATTTGGGAGATATTTCTTCTCTGTTAACTTGATATTATCTTAGCCACTCACATAAAAGTTATTATAATTATTATATATAAAACTATATATGTAATTTTTACATTTAAACTATTTTAAAGTTTTTATTTATCCGAAATAAATGTTGTATTAAAAACTAATGTCAATTCTCTCCTTTTTCTTCACAAATGAACTCAAATAATGTGTAATTTCTCCCCACCTTTTTTTGACCTTTAACAGTGTTTCTATTATTGGTAGTGTGGGTGATTAGTAATATTTATATTGATTTTTATTGTTTCTAAATTATACATCTGGAATTTTAATGTTTAATGTTCTCTCTTGCTTGTAATATATAACAAGACAAACCATTTTATGTTTTTTTGTAGAATAGATTCCTTTTTCTTGGTCTGGTAAATGAATGATTTTGAAATAAGATTTCCAGGAGGGCTTGATAATACAAGAGCATGAAAACAACCAATTCATTTTCATACTCAAAACAACTTACATATACTTTGTATTTCCAGTAAATGACATCATATTCAAATAATTCAATTCTGAATTATTTGCATTCTTAAATTAAGCAAACAAATTTACTAAGAATATTTCAAGCAAATGGGAGTGTAGGTAGGCAAAGGATATAGGACCCCTGTTATCATCACCTTCTACTTAAATATCTATATATCTATATATAGATATATCTATATATCTATATCTATCTATATCTATATCTATCTATCTCTCTATCATCTATCTATATATATATTTCTCCATAGACTTTCATTTTGTAATGTAAATTCTAGCCTCTTTCTGCGCCAAGTTATTTTTCTCTTGAGGGTGTGGTTTATAACCTTGAGATCCTATTTAGGGGAATGCTTTTGGAA